AGCCCTGACCTGGGCCTCGGCCAAGGACGAGCCTGCAACCTAGCTACATGCCCTTGATCAAAATTGAACCTGGACCCTGCGGTCCACAGGCCGAGGCTCTATCCACTGAGCCAAACCAGCTAGGGAAGGATATGACATTTCTTAGCCCCTCCAGCAGCAGACCTTCTTTTTTTCCTCCATGAGTGAGTTGGAAAAAAAATTAGATCACCTTCTTGGATTTTATTATCCAAGTTACAAAGAACACTGTGAGTGGCATACTGGGAGCTTAGCCAATGAGCCATCAGAAAAATTGTTTCCTCTGCAGCTTACGCTCAGAGTCAGGACTGCTCACGCGTGGTTTCTGGCAGGCCTCCCTGTCTCCACTCTGGGCCTGCTCAAGCCGCTGCGGTGGTGCTGGCTGGTCCCCCTGTCTCTGCTCAGGGCCTGCTGAAGCAGCTGCGGCATTCATGGCTTGATTCACATTGCACGCGGTCCCCTCCCACCTACCTGCACACACAGGCTCCTCCTGAGCAGTTGTGATGTTATGGCATCCCGTACAATTTGCATAGTCCTTTGTTTCCAGGATGTTTGTAATTTCTTCTTTGATCTCTTTGGTAACCCAATCGTTTAATTGCATTCTCTTCAACTTCCAAGTGTTTGAATGTTCTGATTGTTTTTATTGTAGTTTATCGTATATATATAATAAAGTGGTAATATTTAAATTGACCCTCACTCTGTCATGCCGCCATGAGATGGCTGTGCCCACAGCAAAGGCAGGGTTCCCATAACACAAGATGACTGTGCCCACAGCAGAGATGGAACCATAATGATCCTTAATGAGTGATCAGCTGGGAATTGAGGCTGCATGGTGCCAGGCGGGGACGGGGGACCTCAGGCTGCAACCCCCACCCAGCAGAGCTTGAAGGTGGACCTCAGGCCGCACCCCCCAACCTGGGCTAGGGCACCTGAGGACGCACCCCCCACCCTGGTGCTGGACTGGTAGACCTCAGGCCACGCCCCCCACCCTGGTGCCAGATCAGGGCACCTCAAGCCATGCCTCCCCTGGCATCGGGCCAAGGGACCTGAAAGTGCACCAGGGGACCTGAGGCTGCACTTTTGTCCAGTGGGGCATGACGGGGGCCCTGAGGCTGCGCCACCCCACCTGGCAGGGCTTGACAGGGGACCTGAGCCTGCACCCCCTGCCTGGAGGGGCTTAACGGGGGTATGGCCATATGGGTCTGGATCTCTCCCAATGGGGGTGGGGCCCGCAGGATGTCGATCTCGGGCGATTTCAGGGTGCATGTGGGTGGGTAGGGATTTGACTCTGTGTTCTACTGCATACCTCAGACTCTGACAGGAGCAAGATTTTCATATACATTTTACTAATTTTCTTTCATCTCTGACACTTCCATTATAGAGAAAGGGCAGATAGCAATATTAAAATATTTCCTCTAATTAATTCCCTTTTAATGTGCACAAATTTTGTGCACCAGGCCACTAGTTTTTAATATTAATGCCATTGTGGTCAAGAAG